GTAGAACACAGCAAAAGCAACAAGCACTAAAAGGGAGGAATGGCTGCAAGCAGCCTCTTCCTCTCCCTTACGTATGTAAACTATCCACCCTAGGGCGCCCCATAATCAATCAAACTCTAAAAGCCTGCCCCATGACCGCATGAGGTTTTGGGGGGACACCCAAACACAAATCATAACATTTCACCCCTGGCCCCCCAAAGACTCATGTCCATCTCTTTATATAAACAGCATTTAGTCCATCTGCAAGAGTTGTCAAAGTCCTAACAGTTTCAGCATTGCTGACGAGTCCAAGTCCCAAGTCTCCTCCAAGATGTAAGGCAAACTCTTAGCTGTGAGTTCCTGTACAAATGAAAAGTTAAACACTTCCAACATTCAATGGCACAAAATAAGCAGTACCATTTCAAAAGGTACAAACAGGGGGACACAGAGCATTGGGACCAAAGCAAGTCCAAAATCCAGCAGAGCTAATGTTATGTCCTGTAGTTCCATGACCAGCATCTGAAGAAATCTGTGGCACATTGTGAGTCCAAAGGGCTTACATGAGTCTACCCCTATGGCACTTCTGGTGGTTACAGCTTCCGTGGCTTTTTTCTTAGGCCTGCTTTGCTCCCTCCTTGCAGCTTTCCTTAGATGATCCACGGTCCTGGCTTTTCTAAACTTCTGAGGTCTCCAGTGCCCCTTTTGTTTTACATTCATAGCCTCACACATTACCCCCTCAGGGGCACACTGCATGGCCTCCCAGGCCTTCTGAAATCTGGGTGGAAGCCTTTTTAACCTCAGAACTCTTGCATTCTGCATGCACCTAAAGCCAGTGCCATGTGGATGATGCCAAGGTCTGCTGCCACCTGGAGCAGTAGCCAAGTTTTCCTCTCTCTTGGCCATAGGGGTCGAGTGCCTGGATCGCTGGGCACTCTGAATCCAATTCTGAGGAACAAATCCTCTATGTTGTTGCCATTCTGGAACCTGGTGTAGCCGCTGCTGCCATTCTGGGACATGGCCCTTAGCAGCCTTCTTCTCAAGGCAAGGTCTTTCACCTTTGCAGTTTTGAGGCTGCAAAGAGTGGAGACTTGCTGTTTCTTGTGATGCCCTCAGGCCATCTTTTTTATTTTCTTGTTTCTTTTTAACAATGGAGATCTCCTCAGCTCTACCTTTGCAGTCCACAGCTTTACTGGAGCTTCCTTTCTGGCCAAACTCACAACATTTTAAATCACCCTGCTGGGATCTTTGTTCTTGATTCTCAATATAAATCTGGCTAAAAGCCCCCAACGATAGCCGTGCCACTTTCCCAACATTCAACTGCCTTGAAATTTTTTTTGTCAGGTTAATCAGTCCGTTGCTGCCCTTAATCTCAGTCTTAGGCAAAGTCTCTGGACACGAGCATAATGCGGAAAAACTTTCTGCCAAGCCATAACAACACACATCGTCTGGAGTCCAACAACCAATGCAGTCCTTCCCAACAGAAACCTCCCGAACCCAGTCTTTACTGGCAGAATTTCTATCAGCTTTCTGATCTTCTGAGCTCTGACCAGAATCTCCCAAACAGAACAGCCGAAGGTGTTCAGGTTCTACTCTTTCAGGCGACATCTCTGAACCTTTTCAAACTCTTCCCAAAAGCCATTTCCCAAGGCTCTTGAACCACATGGTCAGGTATAGTCACAGCAATGACCCCACTCCTGGTACCAAATTCTGTCTTGGTTACTTTTCTCTCATTGCTGGGACAAAATACCTGATGCCCAAAATTAAGGAAGGAAAGGTTTATTTCGCTTACAGTTTGTGGAGGTTTTAATCCATACTTGGCAGGTTACAAAGCAGAGTGGCACATGGCAGAGGGCTACAGCTCGTGGTGGCAGAATACAGCAAAGCAACAAGCACTAAAGGGAGGAATGGCAGCAAGCAGCCTCTTCCTCTCCCTTACATATGTAAACTATCCACCCCAGGGTGGGTGTAGCCCTCACACCCATAATCAATCAAACTGTAAAAGCCTGTCCCATGACTGCATGAGGCTTTGGGGGGACATCCAGACACAAACCATAATAGTTATATAACCACAAATCTAGTTTATACAGTTAAAAGTGGCAAATTAATGGTTACCTTAATTTGTCATTTTCTAGGCTGTGTTTTATGCTGTTTTCATTGGTACCACTGTAGCCAAAAGTGACATAATTGCTCTAAACAGCTGTTCTTCCTGGTATTCCAAGATTAAGATTGACTAAGGGTTACAGAAAATACTGTAGCAGAGTGCCAAAGAACCAAGGGCTGGACCAAAAGGCAGCAACTTCTGATCCCCAACAAATTGAAGGGGTAAGCTCTTGCAGCAGACTCAAAAACCAAAAACCAGCTACACCTGGAAGACAACTAGGAGAAGTAGTTATTTCCTAAGTGTTCTAAATACTAGCAATAAAGCAACCCACCATAGGTAACTAGATGGCTGGTGTCTGGACACTTTACAAACATCACCTCAGGAGTTAAACTAAAAAAAAAGAAAAAATGAAAAGACACTTAAACAAGATGCAACCCCAGACATCCAGTTCACCAGAGGCAAACCCAGGGGGCAGTGAGGTGGGATAATCCAAAAGCCACCCACCTGGCCTCTCTGAAGTGGTAATAGCAAAGCAATTGAATGAGGCTCTAGAAAAAATAAAATTAGAAATAATTTCTCAGGTAACTGCCAAAATGGTCCACAACAAAAACCATGCTTAGTGACTCTAGAGCAGATACAGACAAAAAAATAGAGGAGCTTAAGAAAATTATGCAAGCCATGAATGCTCAGCATAGGAAAGAAATGGAATCCATAAGGCACATTCAGGCAGATATCTAGAAGAATAAAAATTCCATTGAAAGTATCCACAGCAGAGTAAGCCAGTGTGAGGACAGAATGTGAGCTATAGAAGATAGGCTTATAGTTAGCAACCATGAAAAGAAAGATTTCTTAAAAATAGCAAGAGACCATGAGAAATCAATACAACAGCTGCTGGATAATGCAAAGAAGAATAACTTAAGATTGATTGGAGTCAATGAAAAAGCAAGAGATAGCACAAATGATATTTTAAAAAAACTTCACAGACGTAACGGCGGGAAACTTCTCTGGTAGAGAAAAATAATTAGACATGCACATAAGTGAGTCTTATAGAACTCCAATTAGCCACAATCAAAACAAAAATCTACAGCTAGGCATATCATAGCAGGATTACAGAAATTCAACACAAGAATAGAATCTTAAAAGCTGTTAGGAAAGAGAAACAAATCACCCATAAAGAAAAGCCCATCAGAATCACAACTGACTTCTCAGCACAAACCCTTAAGGAGAGCTTGAAGTATTTCAAGCTCTAAAGGAAAACAACCTTTAACCTATATTAATGAACCCCTCAAAAGTATCAAAGCTGATGGAGAAATAAGATACTTCCAGGGCTGGGGATTTAGCTCAGCGGCACAGCACCTGCCTGGCCAGCGCGAGGTTGTGAGTTTGATTCCTGGTACCAGGAAAAAAATTTAAAAATAAAATAGAAAAAATAAGATACTTCCATGACAAAGAACTTCTGAGGAAATTTATGACAGGTGGATATCTGCCTATAAGGCAAACCAAGTGCCTATAAGCACTCCAAAATGTTTTGAAGGACATTCTGGAAAGAGATAACAAGGACTACAACCCCATGAAACCCAACAGAAGGAATCCACCAGGCAAGGCAAACAATTAAATGGAGAGAAAAAAGGAGGAGCCAACACCAGGAAAATAAATGACAAGGATAAGTCAATGCATATTAGTTGTAACCCTCACCAATCAAAAGACACAGACTGGCAGAATGGATCAAGATGCAAGATCCAACAGTATGCTGCATACAAGAAACACATTTAATTTGAAATGAAATTCATAAGACTGGAAGTCAAAGGATGGAAAAAAATACTCCATGCCACAGGAACCCAGAAAAAAGCAGGGGTAGCTGTTCTATTTACAGACAAATTGAATTTGAAGCCATGACTGATTATGAGAGATGAAAAAAGGTTCCTTGTGAAGGGAACAATCCAACAAGAAGAGATAACAATCATAAATATATATGCAACAAATACTAGTACACCTAACTATCTAAAAAAGGTTTTGTAAGAGTTCATCAAACAGAGAAAGTGAGATGTGGCATCACAGTGGGCCTGACTGTAGAAGCATAGAGTTCTGAAAGACCACAGCCTATTTAGAAAATGACAGCTCATACAGTAAAGCCAAAGTGTGGAGTACATGGTGAAGGAATGACGAACATCTTTTGTCATATAGAGGGATTGGTTGGTTTGCCTTATAGGCAGATAGCCACCTGCACAGACCAGAAGGTCTTTTCAGGAAAGGTCTTTCAGAAGGTCTTCTCAAAAAACAGGAAGGAAGATAAACAGTAGGCTCTTTAGGAGGCTTCTTGGTGTTACACAAGGAGCTCATGGCGATGGGCCTGGGGAACTCGATTCTCATGTCAGAAGAGATGTTAAAGAAGAGGGGTTGACGGTGAAGGGGAGTTCTAATTGGGTGTGAGAGATACAGGAAGAAGAGCAGGTGGGGGAGGTAGTGAGTGGGAGGGTTGGGACATGTTGAGGCATCAGACGTCTGGGTGGCAATACCCAATAATCACATAGGAATATACAAATAGGTTAGACCTTGCATTGAACCTGGTAGACAATACTTTAGTTTATCCCCTCTAATTCCACTAATTTTTTTTTACAAGAAAAGAAACATTTCAAAGGTGGTAAACCTACAAGGTTAACAGGAACCAGAGTGGACAGTAGGGTAGATAAAATGGCAACAGTTTTTTTTTTTGGAACATGGAAGACAGATGCAGGTGTTAGCACTGAGGAAGCTGAGACTATAGGTGACCTCAAACATTAAAAAAAAGTCTGAGATGAAAAATAGGCCAGATGCAATTGACAGCAGATGACACACTGCAGAAGAAAATACTACTAACCCCAAAGATGTAGTAATAACTCTCCAAAATGGAAAACAGGAAAAAAAGACACAAAACAAGATCCACTGTTGCAGTTATCAATTTATTCTTCAGCTCCACATTCCCCTTTTCAGCCAGCTTTGTGCTAATGGAGGTAGACCTTATAAAAATTTCTCCTTTGGCAGCCAGCGAGCTGTCAGGGGGTGCTGGAGAGGTCTGCACAGAGGAAGGGCTCTTCCTGCTATTTCTAGTGGGGCTTGCCCTTTTTCTCCACGGCTCTGGCCTCCCAGCTTTAGTGCTAGGTTTCTGCAGGGTGTGGATTTTTCCACTTGCCTACTGCAACTCTCTGTTCCACTGAGCTTTCAACTCAGGTGGAAATGACACAAACCAAAGGGCAGAGGAGCAACATGGGACAGAAAACACTGTCAACTTAGAATCCTCTACCCAGCAGAAGTATCTTTCAAAAACAGTAATGAATACCATAAACCTGGGTTCATACATCTTCAATTTCCAAGTAATGTTCTTTACATTGGATTTTCTTCCGTCCAGTCTAGGATCCAGTCAAAGATCTTGCCTTAAATTATTAAGTCTCTTTACCCTCTTTCATTTATAGCAACCCCCACTTGTGTCTGTCATAACATTGCCATTTTTTAAGAGGTCAGGATTTTGTGCCGTCATTTCTTCATGATTAGCTCAAACAAACATTTTTGGCAAGAATAACACATCAGTGATGTGTCGAGGGCAGTGCATCGGGGCACATGAGGTTGTTTTTGTCCTGTGACTGTGATGTTAAGTTTAATCACTTTTATTAAGGCAGATTTTGAGTGCTAATGTCCCTCTTTCCCTTTTTAAATAGGGGTAGTGATAGAGGTTTGTTGTTGTTGTTGTCCTTGTTTTAATTGGAACATAAGCCCACAGCGTATAAGCTGGAACTGGCTTCCTATGCTGCTTACCTTTTGGGCCTTTGTCCCGAGTCTCGGTGGCAGCTACTTCTCTTCTCTGTGTAACAGGAGAGTGTCCATGCATCCCTGCTGGGAGTGACCCTGGGCAGGAGCAGTGCCCAGAACCCCGTCTGACCTCTTTCCTTTCTCTGTGCATCTGTGCCCTCACTGGGTCGGCAGCATTCCTGGTCTCAGGAAGGCACTTGGAGAGCATGCTTTCTGTTCCAAAGCTTCCAGCTGAGTCTCTGCCTGTCCTGCTCTGTCCACTGGGAACTTGCCTTTCTCACATTTCCACAGTGCACATGGGAGCGTTTGCCTTGATAGCCTCTGAGATCATTCTAGCCCCGGATTCCCCAATGTGATTTCCCTGGAGACTAGAAGAGAAAGGTCAGGGTTAGGGCAGGTGCTCTTAGAGCAATCATCACTGTCATAAACGTAGGATTCCACAGAACCTCCGTGCTTTCAGGATCCCACTCCTGGACAAGGCTCCCCTGGGCTCCCTCTTACATTGATTCCCCTGGAGAGCTGCTGGGGGCATAGGTGTTAGCTGGATCCCAGGACTGGGCTAGTGACACCACCGTGACCTCTGAGAGGGAGCAAGGGTGACCAGAAAGCGTGGATGCCGCTGAGCTACTCACTTGATGTGCTGTAGCCCATGGTTTTCAGACAGTGCCGTGGCAACGCATATCACCCCCTCCATTCCCAAGGAGTTCTCTTGAAGACTAGGCAGAGAAGAGTTGGAACACCGGGGTGAGCCATCAGGACAGAAGAAACACCAGAGGAGGGAACACTGCATTATCTTGTGGGGGCAGCAGAGGAGGCCGGCAGTTCTAGGGTTGATTTTATCCCAGGTGCCATAGCAACTGCTAAGTGGTGGTGTCTCGCTCCTAAGGTGGGCATCCACAAGTAGCCACATTGCCCTAACCATGAACGCAGGTTGTTTGGTTGCTTGCTTTGTTTTGGTACTCAGGATGGAGCCTGGGGCCTTCATGCTGAAAATTTGTTTTTGAGTCTGTGTCTTGCTAAGTCACTAAATAACCTAGGCTGGGCTTGAATTTGCAATTCTTCTGCCTCAGCTGCCAAAGAGCTGGGATTACAGGCATACGCCACCACACCCAATTTGAATGGAGACTTTAAATATGTTGACTGAAGCAGTTTGAGCAAACCCGACTGCAGTGGAGGTGGACTGTAATCATCAGAACAACTTGAGTCATTCCCATCAAGAGGAACAGAGGGAAGAGATCGTCCGCAGTTTATCCCATGGGATGCAGGTCTCCGCAGCCACTTACTTGAGTCTCCGGAGACTGGAGTTCACCTTCAGAGCATTCGTCAAGGCCTTAGCCCCAGCCGCTCCAATGGCATTTCCTCGTAAGCTGCCAGGGAAGACAGGAAACGTAAGGCACAGGAGTGGGCTCAGAAGTGATAGTGATGCCCTTCCAGCTGGGTCAGCAGTCACACAGGAGGTAAGGATCACTCTTTCCTCACTCCCAGGCCACAGAACAGAGCTGGGCTGTATGGAGGGGGACACACAGGCTGTAGACGACTGGCCTGAGTACCCTCATCCATCTTTTCCATTCCAGAGGAAGAAGGGCTGGGCTGGGAGAGGCGGCACTCTGCCCAGTGCACGCAGCATCCCAGGTCTGACAAGCGCAGAGGTGCCAGCCATGCCTGAAGGCCTCTCAGAGCTTGACCCCCACCCCAGGATTGGGCCTTCTCACGGAAGATGATCCGCAGCAATCGGCTGTCCCTAAGCAAGGCTCCTAGAGATGTTCAGTCAGGGCAGGGCCAACCCAGAGACAGACCAGCAACAGTGACTTGGGGAAGAGACGTGAAGCGGGAGTGAGGAAGCCGGAGCACACCTGACCTGAAGTGAGAATTGTGAAACTGACCTGTGAGTTTCTATGTAAACAGGTATTTTCCCCCATATCTGCTTCTTTTGAATCACTAGCTTGGTTTCTTTGGGCAAAAGGCTGTCACTAGAGACTGGAATACTCACTCGAGAATCTCCAGGGTTCTGTTCACAGCCAGGGCCTCCCCCAGTGCCAGGGCCCCCGGGGTACCAATGGAGGCCACCTGGAGGCTGCAAGAGGAGTTGGGATCAGTGCAGGCAGGTGGGACCCTCTTCCCTCATGTCTGCCCGGCCCGGCCTTCCTCCCTACTCTCCACCCCAGACTAGTGCTGGAAGCGGAAAAACAGCACTGAAGACTGCCGGCACCTCCCACCGACACACCAGCACCTAAGACAGAGGCCTGGCCCTGGGGGTCGCCTCCGCAAGGCTGGTGGGGATGCTCACTGTACCCCTAGTTCTTCCTGCAGAAGCTGGGCTTCCCAATTGCTGATATTAGGAAAATCAAACACACCTTCCTTGGCTGGTACAGGTGGTGTGCGGCATGAGAGGGCGGGGAAGGAGCTGGCCTTCTGGACCCCGCAACCTTCAGGGACTTACTAGAGAGCAGTGAGGGCTGTGTTCACCTTCAGCGCACTGGCCAGCGCGGAAGCTCCTTCGTCCTCGACGGCATTCTCCTGTAAGCTGAACAGGGAAGAACATGACCCCTCTGGGCAGGGGGCTGCGCCAGCACCCCAGCAGGGATGCTGGGCTTGGGGCTTCTGGATTTAATTCAGACCTCACGCACCAGTGCCCTGGGGATAACGCCCTGCTGTGCAGCCACTGTAGCCCCTGGCCTCATCATCAGCATGTCAAGGGGAGGCTACAGAAGTCTGGGTGAGCATCAGAGGCAAGCAGGAAAAGGGACATGGGGATACTGCCACTACATGTGTGGGACAAAAAGAGGGTATGCCAACAAAAAACTAACTTGAAGCCCTCAACCTCTGGGCCATTCTTGCTGGTTAAGATTTTGTTCAAATATCTTTTTCCTCTCTTCCAAACTGGAGGGAAACTGCAGGCCCTAGGCCTGTAAATGAAGTTCAGGTCAAGTGGACAGTGGCATATTTAAGGAAGCAGTTGCGTCCATTACTTGACATTTGAGTGTGCCCTGTGTGCTAGCGGTGTACGAGGCAGCAGTCACAGTTCTGACCTGTTAGAACTCAGGCAAGAGGACACAGTCATGTAAGCAGTTACGACAAGTCAAGGGCAGGCTGTGGGAAAGACCAGCAAGTCTTCTGCCCCAGGGTGGTGCCCAGAAGAAGCAGATCTAAGTAATAACCAGCAAATGAGAAAGGAAGAGGGTCTGGCACATCTCAGGAACCTGGAGAGACTGAGCTGAGATCCTGGGCTGGTGAAACACAAGGCCTGGGAGCGTGAAGGAAGCAGATCTCTGGGCGTCTTCTAAGCCACACTACAGGTTGTGCGTTGCTCTGCATGTGCTGGGCAGCCATTTAAGGACCTGACCCAGGATGGGGGCAGACAGATAATTTGGAAAGATCGCTGGCCTGCAGTATGAGGAGTGGCCGGATGTAGTGGCTGCCCGGTAAGGCAGGTGAGTGGTGCTGGAGCTGGATGGTGGCAGCTGAGGGACAGGCGGGTGGGAGGGAGACTGGGCAGGACACGGAGATGAGCGGGGAGCAGAGGCAGTGCCTCGGGTCTGCACAGCTGGCAGTGACAGGAGCTCTAGGGGAAACCAAGAAGCAGGCTTGTGGAGGAGAGGACACACCAACCGATAGCACGTGGGGGACACGGAGGGGATGTGTGGAGGAGTTCAGGAGAGGCAGCTGAGATATGGACACAACGTCCTCAGGACTCAGGTCACTGGAGCCCTAGAAAAAGAGAGCTCCTAGAAAAAGGATGCCATTCAAGAGAAGAGGGCCTAGGCCAGAGTGCTTGGGAGCCCAAGTATCTAAAAGTGGATGGGGAGAAAAGACTGAGGAGGACCAGCCAGAAAGGAGACATCCAGGAAACTACGGGAGAGGATGAGGCTCAAAAAGTTAAGCATTGAGTTACCAGGTAACCCAGCAATTCTGCTCCCTGGTCTATACCTCAGAGAAATGAAGCATATGTCCACACAGACTTTTGCACAAGTGTTAATAGTATTATTCATAACAGTCAAAATCAGTGGAAGCAACCCAAATGTCCATCAGCTGACAAATGGATAAATAAAATGTGTGTATCCACACAGTGGAATAGTTTTCAGCCACAGAAAGGGAAATATTGATACACAGTTCAACATGGATGAACGTGAAAAATACACTAAATGAAAGTTGTGCTGGGAATGTACTTAGTAGTACGTAGCATGCATCAAGATCGTGGACTTAGTCCCCTGCACACACCCATAAAATGTAGGCCACAAAAGACCACCTGTTAGATGATTTGATTTATATGAAATATCCACAATAGGCAAATCCATGGGGACAAAATAGAGTCATGGTTTCCAGGGATACAGGGAGAAGAAAATGAAAAGTGACCACTGGTATTTTTGGAGTGATAGAAGTGTTCTAAAATTGATTGTAGTGATGGTTGTACAACTCTGAATGTACACTGTTCTGGAAACCAGTGGATTATACATTTTAAATAGGCAGATTTTATGATATATGGATTTTATTTCAGTAAAGCTGAATATATATATTTTCTGGTCTGATGGCAGAGGAGGCTGTGTGCCACGGAGGTGCCTGGGGCTCTGAGTTTGCAGCTTCCCCTGCCCCTTCCCGTACACCTCGCTGGCCGTACTTACTCTAAGCTGGTCAAGCTGCTGTTGAGCTGGAGTGCTCGTCCCAGGGCCCTGGCAGCGCCCACCTGGATGAAGTTCCACTGCAGGCTGAGCAGACACAGACACGTGACCATGCAGCCCAGGGGCAGAGGCAAGGACTTTCCAGAGTGGTCTGACGGCAGGGTGAGTCTCTGCAGGATGCGGCAGGATTCCTGCAGCCGCTCTCGGGCTTGGCCCCCGGATGGTCAGCGTGTGCTCCATCAGTGGTGGCCACAGGAAGAAGCTCAAATACACCACAGAGTCTGGGTCGTCCCAGGCCTGGCCAAGGCAGCCACCTCCTAACCTGTTCTGTCTGAGGGTCAGCCTCAGAAATCAGGACCCAGGGTGGGACACAGCTTCCTGAGGCTGGCAGCCTGGGAAGATCCCTGAGACCTCAGAGAAGGGTCCTGCAAAGATAGGTTCTGGAAGGGGTGTGTGAGGGCAGGGACAGTAGACTCACTGAAGGGTCTTGAGGGCACAGTTTTCTCCCACTGCCACTGCGATGGCCTGGGCGCCCTGGTCATGGAGGAGGTTGGCTGTCAAGCTGGGATGAAGGGAAAAGAAATGAGTGAGCAGGAGCCCAGTGTGTATCCCCTTGTCCTTGGTCACCAGGAAATCCCAACCACTCTCCCTGCCAAGGACCAGTGTCTTCAGATGTTAGTTATCTGGTTCACATCCGTAGGGAACCTGTGGGCCTGACCCACAGGTCAGGAGTCTGGAGTCTTATACCAAATCACTCGCTCTCCACCCCCCACCAGTCTTGACAGAATCAGCTCAATGGGGTTGGGGCCAGGTCACGTGGCTGGTATGTGGTGGAGCAGCCCAGGGGCTCCTGCCCAACAGCGCGTCCCCACATCAACCCTTCTGAGTCCCTTCCCATGAGCTTGCTGGTTAATTCCCAGGGGTAAGACAGGCACAGTGTCATGCTGTCCTCATCCCTGTATTCACTTATACCATGATGGGGGGCTTGCGTCACGGTTATCACTAGACACCAGGTCCTCCTGCTGTGCCTCGCCACCCAGGCCCTTCTCACACCGTGTGAACTGGCGAGGGCTCTGCGGGCCTGGCCCGTTCTGTCAGAGCCCATCGATCCTGGGCGCTGGGTGAGCAAGGAGGCCATGGGCATAAACACCACCCTCACCCTCCCTGGCCCTCCACCTACTCCAGGTGCTGCAGGGTGCTGTTGCTGCTGAGAGCTTGCGCCAGGGCCTGGGCTCCCTCGGGGCTGATGGAGTTTTCCCGCAGACTGAAGAGAGAGAAAGGACCCTGAGCATCCAGCTGGGCAGTGAGGCCTCTGGCAGGAGACCGGCCCCAGATTCAGGACTTTTGGAGGCCCAGAAGCCTCTGGTGGGCCCTGGGCATCCTGAGAAATCTGGGCTGAGGGGTGAAGAAGCCCCAGCTAGCAAGCCAAGGATCTGATGGCTGGCAGCCAAGGGTCCCCACTCAGGACTTTCAGCAGCTCAGGGATGTCCAGAAGGAAAGAGGACGGGATGGCAGGACTTGGAGGTATGAAGGGCAAGAGGCCGGCGAGGATACTTGGGTACCTGATGATGGAAAGGAAAGGAACAGCAGAGCAGCCCCTGAGGGGCCACAACTGTCCCCTCCCCTCCTGAGCAGAAAGAGGGACAGGGTGTCCTGCTCCAGCACCAAGCCTGCCCAGCCGTAGATACCCCATCAGCAGATTTCCCAGCCCCAGACTCCCTGCTCAAAGGGCGGCCCTGGGTGGACTTACTTGAGGCTGAGGAGGGTCTGGTTGGCACACAGGGCCCCCATGAGCGCCGCTACTCCCGCATCGCTGATGGAATTGCTCTGCAGGCTGTGGACAGAGGACGGGGCACCCTTCGTATGGGGTCCCAGGACCTGGAGAGAACTGCCCAGTCCAGCCTGGGACCACAGGCACTGGGTTCTTAGGCATTTGGGGGGCCCAGAATCTGCTCTTCTCATCCTGTTTCCCACCACCCCAGCTTTTAGCCTTTGCCACATCAGGGCAGGTGGCTTAGCACAGCTCCCAAGGTTTGGACTCTGCCTTCACCTGGGGGCTCCAAATGTCCTCAGAGAATGGCTTGTTGGTTCTGTGGCCCAGAGAAAGTGGTGCCACAGAGTCACCCCAGTGTGGCAGCCCCACCTCGCCAGGGCTGCTACGGCTGACCCTTCAGCCACCTGTGCTCATTTACCAAGGGCACACAGAGCTTAACGTTCTGAAAACTCTATAGCCAACCCCAACCCCTACTACCCAGAGAAATGGGGCCGGTGGGGTGGGGAAGGGTGGATGGAGGGCAAAGACTGAGACCAGAGTATGCCCAGGGCTAGGGTTGGTAGGGTGCTGGCTGGCAGTCCTCCTCCAGAAATAACATTCCACCATCTGCTGGAGGAGACCCCAGGGGTAACTGTCACCCATGGAGGGAGGTCAGGCAGACTCACTCCAGGCTCAGCAGGCCCTGGTTCACCTTTAGTGCCTCAGCCAGGGCCTGGGCACCTCCATCGCCAATGCTGTTACTGGAGAACCTGCAAGAGATAGATAGATGGTGCTGAAGCAGTGGGGTGGAGCCGGGCCTAGGAATTGTCTCAAGAGGGCTGGTGCGGTTTGCTCTGCCTGAGTCCTGTTCATCTGTAATCTCAGCAAGTAACCACTCTCTACCTGAAAGAGATCGAGGTAGGAAAGGCCCCTTTGACTACCTGGGAATGGCAGGGGGCAGGGGGCAGGGGGCAGGGGGCAGGGCCCACCCATGCTGAGATGTGTTTGCAGTACTTTATCTGAAGGCAAGAAATGCTGTTTTCTTTTGCCAGCGGGAAAGGCAGTGAAGTGTGAGCCTTAGAAGGTTGGGCTTCACGCCGTCATGGAATTCTGGGTCTCCATTCTTCTAGTCCAGTGCTTTGGAGTCTTAAACCAGCTACCCTACTTCCACACATCCATCCATCCATCCACCTGTGCACTCACCCACTCATCTGTCCCTCCAATCATCCGTTTACCTATCCTGCCATCCACTCATCCATGCCCATCCTTACAAATATGTAAGATGTGCTGGGCATCGAGAATACCAATTTGCCCTTCTGCGTGTCTCACATGAGCTCCTTCAGACTCCTGTTCTGCTTCAGGGCTTCTGCCATCTGCTGAGCCCCCAGGGGCCCGATGATGTTCTTCTGCAGGCTGTGGGAGATGAGAGGGGCCCATCAGCACAGCTGGCGTAGCCATGCCCGGGCCCAGGGCAGCCTGGGTTCAGAGCGAGAGGTCAGAGATGGTAGAGTGCCCTCTCTGTTTATCTCGGCAGCAGGAAGGGCCTTGCCTGGGATCCGGTGATGTAATTATATTGGAGAGTAAGGGACAAGGGCAACTGGAGCTCCCTTCTAAGGTATCAGAACGCAGGGACCAGCAACCTCCCAAGTGAGAACTCCCGTGCTCAAGTCCTGCTGGACCCTCACAGACAGTCCGCCCCCTTCTAGTCCAGACAGCAGCCTGCCTCCCACCTCAGAATCCTCCCTGGGGGAGGTCGCTGGAGGACATGCAAGCCAGTGTCTTGCATGTGTAAAGCTAAATACCAACCTTAAAATAATGTAATCTTCCAAAAAAGAAAGAGAACCCCTCCTCTTTCTTAAAGTATTTCCTTAAAGTAAATTGAGATTGCAAATCCTTTCTCTGTCCCTCTGAGATGCATTTAAGTCTCTTTAGGAGTTTCTTTGGCTCCCTGCCAGTTTCACAATCCTGGAATGTCTTTCTCAGGGTCTTCCTAGGGCCCTGGCGCCCCCTCTCCAAAGGTAAACACAACGCAAGCTTGGGCCCTTGCCTCCCTGTGCTGTGGGAATTACCCTGCGTGCCCGGCTCTGAGTTGTGAAGCACTTGCTTATCATCTAGATAGGAGGTTTATTTTTCCCCCTTTGGAGAAAAGCAATTTGGAAACACAGATGACCACCCCAATGATCTGGTGAATTTAGAATAAGCTATGTGTGACAAATGGTGCCGTCATGTCCTTTAGAGGACAAGTTACAGTGGTATTTACCTTGAGAACATGCGTGGGATGGGTTGCGTCTGTTGGGAAACAGAAAAGGGGGGCATTTTTTGTGTCTCTGAAGCCTCATTGGTGGTTGCCTGTGATGCCCACTGCAGTCACTTTAATGCTAATTCAACACTAAAACTGTTCTGTTTTTTCCTACAGCTGTGGAGATTTTCTTGGTTGGCAGGAGGTTTTATTTTCAGTAACTTTTCCACACCTATTCTCTGGAAAAGTAGCGGGCAGCAAGTTTTCCAGCCAGTAAGCCTCAGGACTGCTCCATCCATTCCTCCTTGCAGGAAGGGCAGAGGCCAAACCTGAGAGAGAGGGGACGCGAGGGGGGGGGGCAGCTCCACTTACTGCAGCGCAGAGAGCATCTTGTTGGTGGCCAAGGCCTCAGCCATGGACCTGGCACCATCGTCCTTAATCGCGTTGCTCTGGAGGCTGTGGAGGAGAAAAGGACACGTCACCAGCCGAGGACAGAATAGCTAGAGTGGCTTGAACCCACTTCCGGGGGTGGCAAGGGCATGCACCACCACAGGCCAAGAGGCCTTGGGGGCACAGGAGGGGCAGCAGGGACCTCGGTGAGAAAAGGCGCTGACCATCATGTGCCCTCCCCACTGCTAACCACACAGGAAAAACAGCTGGTCCCTCCCACGTGGGGTCCCTGAGCACTTGCCTGCCCACAGGGAGAAAGGTACTTAGGCTAGCTGGATCAAACAATAACCAGGACAGCAATCGCCTTCATTATAGCTGAGTCACATGGCTCAAGTATTGGTTAGGATGGGAGAAATAAGAATTCTAAACACTGCTGGTGGGAATGTAAGTGGTCTAGACTCTATAAAAAGTAGTCTGCAGTTCCTCAAAAGCAATTCTATTCCTAGGCATATACCCAAACGAACTGAAAATAGGTGTTTGAATGCTTACACACAATAGCCAATACTTATTCACAACAGCCACAAGGTGGAAACAATCTAAATGCTCATCATCTGATGAATAAAACTGATCCATTAAAGTAGAATATTATTCAGCCATAAAAATGGAGTGAAGTAATGATTCACAGTACAATATGGACAGACCTTGAGAACATTATGCTAAGTGACGGAGACGGAATTAAAAGGTCTTATACTGTGATTCTGTTTGCATTAAATGGCCAGAATAGGTAAATCCATGCAGGCAGGAAGCAGATTAGTGCTTACAGGGGGTGGGGGATGGGCAGTAACTGCTAATGGGTACAAGGTCTCCTTTGTGGGTGATGAAAACATTTTAGAACTAGATAGAGGTGATGGTTATGCAACATGAGTGTCCTAAATGCCAGTGAACTATATACCTCAAAATAGTAAATGTTGGAGCTCCAGTGGCACAACTAGTAAGCACATGGTATTTATACAAAATAGTAAATGTTATGTGAATTTCACCTTGGTAACAATAAATAAACAGCAGAGCAGTGGTACCCACTCAACTACAAATAGATATAACCACAGACTCCTAAAAGTCACACTGAATGTTGGAACCTTCTGGAAGAAAGGCTATTTGATGTCCCAGAAAGCACTTCAGGTGACGAGTCTGATATCACAGCTTGGTAAATGTACAGAGGCATAAAGAGGAGGGAAGAGCTGGAACCTGAACTTTACTTAGGATACAAACTCCCTGGCATGCCAGGCCCCCCATTCTGAACCATCTCCCACTCTACAGGCACGGGAGGCACTCCTGGGCGCACGGGCAGGGGGCAGGAAGCGCATACCTCAGAGAGGTCAGAGTGCGGTTAATCTTCAGAGCATCAGCCAGTGCCTTGGCTCCCTGGGGCCCGATGGTGTTACTGCGGAGGCTGGTGGAACCAAGACAGAAAAGTGACTCCCCAGCTGGGCAGGAGGGACCAACATTACACTGACTTTGAATTTAGGATCCTTGATTTCAGGTTTAGTGGGCCCAGGACAGAGCTCCTCAGCTAGGTGAACAAGAAGGAGATTCCCAAGGTAGCCCCACATGATGGGGAAAGGGGAGCAAGACCTGCGGGCCTGCAGCTGTGAGCCAAGTGTGGAGGTGAGGAGAAGGCTGGGCCCCGCTTCAGGGCTGAAAATCGAGTGCCTCCTGGGATGAGGCTCAACAGTCAGGCAGGCATTGTGACTTGGCTTGCTCAGCTGTCGTGAGAGGAGGACATGTCTACCCAGAAGGCCGTGCGGTCTGCGGGAGCCCAGGGACTGGGAACTTGCTCTACATGGGGTAGGGTTCCCTGCCCAGAGCCTCCCACGGGCTGAACCTGGAGTGTCATTTCATACGAGAGGAGATGGTTCGAAATTCTCCTCATTCCAGCGGGCTTTTGTGTCCTACTTACTCCAGAGTAGTCAGACTTCTGTTGACCAGGAGGGATCTGGCAAGAGCTTTGGCGCCTTTGTTACTGATCTGGTTCTCAGCCAGGCTGCTCAAGGGAAAGGAGAGGGTAGTTACTTCAGATACATGAATCTCACTGCTGCCTCATCAACGTCATGCCCATGATTAAACCCACCGTTTCCTCAATATCATCAGGGCCTGCCCATGCGTGGAGACAAGGGGAACCCAGAGCAGAAAGCCAGGCATGGGCAGGCCCTGAGCCTGGGCAAGTACAGCCAGAGTGGCCAGCAGACCCATTCCCTGGTGAAGGGTCCCAGGCAAAGTTAGGCCACAGTCCTTCAGAACAGCTTCTGCACAGATGCACAGTAAAGAGATCAGGCAGTTACCGAGGCCAAAAGTGTGATGGCAAAATGGCTCTCAAAATAAACCAAAAAAAGGACCAAAAACTGATGTGCAGCGTTTGCTGATTTCCGTGGTGTAAATACTCCCACCCTGACCAATGTTAACAGTCCCAGCTTGCAGAAATCCTGAAACTCTAACAAGCAGCTCTCTTGAACTTATACAAGAGTCCAGCACACTACTGACCCTCACTCTCCTCCTGTGCAAAACTGCAAATAGTAGATTTACCAGAAGACTAAGTTTGAAGTTAGAAATGAAAAAGGGCACCTCAGCTAGACGTGATGGAGCACACCTGTAATCTCAGCACCCGCAGGGCTGAGGTAGGAGAATCATGGTGAGTTCAAGGCCAGCCTGGACTACATAAGTGAGTTCGAGGCCAGCCTGGGCTACATAGGTGAGTTCGAGGCCAGCTCGAACTACATAAAAGAGGCTCCGTCTGCAAAAAAAAGGTATCTCTTCCCTTTGAAAGGGCGATTCCAGTGATCTGCAGATAGATAGTGTATCCTCTTCCAGAAATGTTCTGTTGAAGCTGCTTTGTAGTTTTCTGGGCATTCAGCCCAGGAGATACAGTTATTCAATTAAAACTCCCAGGCTGGAACTTTTCAAGCTACATTCCAAGGGCCCCTCAGGATCCCAGGGGAAACCTTCACAGGTAAGGCAGGGTCAGTGGCATGTGTCTATAATTCCAGCAACTTGAGAGGCTGAGGCAGGAAGATCACAAGTTCCAGGCCAGCCCAAGCTATTTAGTGAGGCTCTATGTCAAAATAAAAAGGGTTGGGGGTGTAGCTTAGTGGTAGAGGGCTTGCTGAGTATGTAGGAAGCTCTAGGTTCACTACTATATGGCCAACAAAACAAAGTAACAACTTCAGGGACCAAGAGGAGGACGGAGAAACCAAGTAGGCAGGACTCTGAGACGCCCGCATCCCGTCTTGTAATCCTAACAGCTTTCCTTCTGTTTTTCTTATTGAGGTTCTGCCTATGTATCCATTTTTTTTTTTTTAATATTGGGGATTGTTGAACCCAGAGCCTTTGCATTAAGCTACCGTCCCAGCCCTCTTCTATTCTTTATTTTGAGACAGACTTACTAAGTCATTAAACTGCCCATGCTGGGCTTGACCTTGTGGTCCTCCTGCCTCGACCTCCCAGAGTGCTGGGATTACAGGTGTGTGCCTTCAAACTGGCTTGTATCACTTTTTTACAACAGAGTTCTATGCTTAAAGTTTTGAAAATCACCCAGCCCACCTTCTACGTAAATGCTCTCACATTCTAGACAGTCTCTGTCACCCAGGACTTGCAGGATGTTTCATAAGCAGCCAGATGTTTTCTGCAGTCTACTTTGCTTGGACACTGCAGATGGGAAGGTGGTATGAGGACCAGATGTTGTAGGGGGAGCATGTATTTGAAGAAGTATTTGGCTTTGTTCAGTATAATTTGGGGGCACTATCTTGCCTCCTGTAAGCAAAACTAAAAGTTGACTATTTTATCATGTGCTAAAAATACTGGAGGGTCCCAGCAGCTCAGCCGTGAAGTGTTGGAGGTCCTGAGCACATTCTCGACAGCAGCTTACCTTCTTTTTCAGGCTCACTGGCTTTTGCTATTTTTGTTGTTGAATGATTCCAATCACATATAAAGCTTTTAAGAGTTTGTGTGAAAAAAATACTAGAAGTTCCCACGAAGGAAAAATATTAATGAGAATTTGTCATGATCATTTTTCTTTTCAACCTTTTGCTAACAAGGCAAAGGTAATCCTGCTAGAATAGCCAGGTGCCTGACACTGAAATAACTCATTTAAGCCTCACAGTGAAAAAGCTCGGCTCTTGAGGGAACCTGCTGCAGTTTACCTCCCAGTGCGATGTATGGTGGAAGGCGTGGGCCACACAATCATCTTGGCCCCAGAGCTGCTGCGGGCTGAGGTCAGCCAGGCTGGTGGTCAGGGACACCTTTGTGACCGAGCTCCAGTGAGGTCCTCCAGTGCCCAGGCCGGGATGGGCTTCCCTGGTGGGCAGTGCTTCCCGCGCACTGTCACTTGTGGTTCTGGGAGAAGGAAGGACCTCTGTGGGACCTCATGGGAGAGGACGTGGGAAGCTCGTGTCTGGTCCTTCCTGGTCCTGCCCCACATACCTCGTGCTTCTCCTGTGCCCTTTAGTGCAGTGAAGCATAGCTGTAATAGCATTTCTCAGCTCTCAGTACTAGCAAAATTAAGATGAAGACTATTTCAGAACCTGGAGGCTTGTGTGAAGATGAAAATTACTCCCTGGGTCCTATTCGCCAAAATCACCTCTCTGCTTCTCCAAATGCCACTGTATGTCTTCACATCTATTGAACTATGAGCCATGTTCCTCAGGTCTGGAGATGTTATTCCAGGGGAGAGTCATAAGCATTTAAGTGAGCATAGAAACTTATATCTAGTGATAACATGAAAGATGTGATTCTTAATTCAAAATTTTAAAAAGTAATTTCACGTTAAATTTTATTGAAATTAAAATCAAAACTTATCAAATTAACATTTCCAAGTCCTGTGCCCTGACTATTGTTTGAGAGCAAACGCAGAGAGGTGTTTAGAGAGACGATGCCTGGGGCCTAGGGGCAGATGCGCTCCTGTGTCTGCGACAGTGCCTGGCCTCATCTGTTACTTCTCTCTTCCCACAGATGAGGTACCTGAGCCTCGGCACTTTCAACAATGGGCAGGAACAAGCAGGCCGCATCGTGAGCCACTGGCTGCAGGTGCCTCTGCTGGAGGCCTCTGAGCTGAGCAGGGCAGATGACGGGACGGTGGTCCCGTACCCACAAGACAGGTGGGCAGCCTGGGCGGGCTGTGGGGTCAGTGTTACCTGATCTTCTGAATGCGACAGTCCTTCCCGCTCAGCATGCTGCCCAGTAGCTCCATCACGGGGTCCTGGAACTGATTGGCATCCAGCCTGGGGCGGGGGGAGCAGTGCCAGTGAGCAGTCTCGCTGACCCTGGCGGGGCAGGACCCCGCTGGCTCCTGTCCATCACACCACAGCCCCGCCACGCGGCTCAGAGACCTGTGCTCAGCCTGTGATGCTCAGACTTTCCTGCTCCTGGGGCTGCTTCCAAACCCCATGGGCTACGCATCTCTACAGGACACCATTTGCCAGCTGGCCTACTTCTGAGGGTGCATAGACCCTTCTCTGGTCCCAAATGACCCTCTCCCTGGACTTTCAAACCCCCTTTCTAAGGTTCAGAGCAGTGTGCAGAGTACAGGCTGAGGATCTGTTCAGAGGTGCAGCTTCTGTCAACCTGGACAACTCAGAGGGCATTATGGTTCGTGTCTCCCAAACAGATACACTGAAGTCCTGACCTCTAGTGCCTAAAGAATGTAGCCTTACTGGGCCTGGTGGCACACATCTGTAATCTGAGCACAACGGGAAGCTGAGGCAGGAAGACTGCAAGTTCGAGCCCAGCTTGGGCATCTTAGTGACTTAGATGGCTTCAAAATTAAAAGAAGAAAAAAAAAAAAGCACTGGGGATGTAGCTCAGTGCAAAGACCCTGGTTTTAATCCCCAGACTGGGGGGTAGGGGGTGGGGAGAACACAGCCTCATCTGGAAATAGGCCTGTTGCTGATGTAATAGTTAGAGGAGGTCATACAGAGAGGGGCGGCCTGCAGGCCAGTATGATCGTGTCCTCACAGGAGAGACAAGCACCGGGTGAAGACAGACACGGAGAAGAAGGCCATGTGACAACAGAGACTGAGACTGGAGGGAGGAGGCAGCTACCAGCCAAGGAGCCCTGAAGGTTGCCAGCCAATGCCAGGATCTAGAGATGCTGGAAGGACGCCCCACCCCGCTGCCATCCGTGATCTGGGAGCCTTGATTTCAGCTTCTGGCCTCCAGAACTGGGAGGGAATGGCCCGCTGTGTTGTCACCCTGTTCAGTTTTGGAACTGCTATCGTGCCCCAGTAACTAATGCAGAGAGGGATGAGGGAGTAAGGAAGCCTTCCGGGTCCTCTGCCTGCTTCTCCGCCCCCACGGCCTGCACCCCAGCTCATGCCCACCTGAGGCTCTGACAGTAGAGCAGCTGGGGCAGCAGGCTCTGGAGGACACCCTGCCCAAGGCCCAGGGACAGGTCAGCCTCCTGGGCACAGATGTCAGACACTTGCAGGAGGTAGGCCAGAGCGGCACGGTGCGAGGGGCCGGTGAGACTGGCCAGGGCACCGCTGCCCATGGCCTCTGCCACGTTGCGGGCCAGCTCTGTGCGCCGCAGCTCCTGGAGGCAGTAGAGGACATTGACGGCACGGGCACACACGGCTGTGTTGGGGCGCAGGCAGCCCTGCAGAAGCTCGGCCACTTGAACTTGGTAGCCCTGGTGCTCGCCCTGGGTCAGCAGGAAGCCAGCCAGCAGGGCATTAACCCTGGGCGACAGGAGACCCGAAAGAAAGCGCAGGAACACGTCCAGCCGCCCGTCCTCGGCCTGCATGGCCCGCTGCGCAGCGCTCCTAAAGTGTGTGAGGAAGCCCAGCCTGGGCCAGGACATGCCACTCTCAGTGAAGAGGTCGAAGATGGCCCTCCTGGATGCACTGTAGTAATATGCAGCCGCCAAAAACTCCTGCAGGGACAGGTGGATGAAGCAGTAGGCCACTGAGGAGACCAGCGTCTCCTCCCGCTGCAGGAAAAAGCTGCACAGGGCACCCTGCAGCACAGCCAGGTCCACACCGAATGCCTTCATGTCCTGCTCATAAAACACGAACTTTTTCTTCACTAGCCCGTGGAAGGCCATCCGGCCCAGTGTCCCCACCATCTTGCGGCCGCCATGGGCCACCTGCTCAATCCGGGGGCTCACCCTGCCCCTCTCCGTCCCCTCCCCGCTGAGCGCCATCCTGAAGTACCACGAGTAGAGCTCACACAGGGTCTGTGGAGGCCACAGCTCTGGGTCCTGGGGTGCTGGCCTGCTGCGGCCCAAGTGACCCAGCACCATGCCCACGAGCCTGCAGAAGGCTGGGACTGTGCACATTAGATACAGGGCCCTGTCGGCCTGCATCTGGCCCAGGACCTGGCCCACAAGGGTCTTGTCCTCGGGGAACATCTGCTCCAAACACCCCTTCATCTCCTCCTCAGTAAAGCCCCGGATCTCAGTCATCCGGTCCACTAGGCCTCCTGGGATCTGGCCAGCTGCTCCGGGACGAGAGGTGATCCAGACAGAAACTTCTGGGAAGAGGTTGCCCCGGACAATGTTGGTGACCAGCTGGTCCACTTGGATCTCCCTCTTTGGGTCTGTGCAGGCCACAGTGTTGGAGAAGTCCAGAGGCATCTTACACTCATCCAGGCCATCGAGGACCAGGAGGACTCTGGCTGGGGCTGTCACTGTCAGGCAGGCCTCCCCGACATTTGGGAAGACGGAGCGGATGAGTCTCTCGGCAGACAGCTTCTCGTGGGCATTGAGATCCCGGAAGGTGAAAGGCAACACCAGAGAGAAGTCCTGGCTGAGCTGCCCGCGGGCCCAGAGGTGGACAAAGTGCCTTACCAAGGTGGTCTTGCCCATGCCGGCCACCCCAACAGTGATGGAGATGCGGGGCGGGATGGACACCCGGGATAGAGGCAGGAAGAGCCTGTCCAGGGTGATGGCCCTGGCGGGGCGCTGGCCCCCCCGTGTGGCCTCCACCTGCGTGAAGTCGTGCTCCCGCAGCTGCAGGTCACTCAGGCCCTCCACCAGCAGCAGACTGGCCAGCCGGTGCACAGGGCTGCCCAGCTCCAGGGTGCCTCCCACTCTGCCCAGCAGGGCCTCGAGGTGCCGGCGTATCCTTGAGTCTGCAGACGTAAGCCAGGAGGAAGACAGGTAAGGTTTGGGCCGGGGGAGAGGACCCAGGTCTCCCCTCTGTCAGCCTCCCATGTGGCTCTTACCATTGCTATGGAGTCCTAGTGGGGAGTCGGGTGTCCCATCAGGGGTCTGCAGGGTCTGACCACCTTGACTGCTCTTCCAGGGCAGCAGATCCACAAGAGCCTTCATCTGCTCGGCTGGAGAACCAGTGCCATGGGCCTGGCTGGCCTCTCCTCCCGTCCACACCTCCTGCTTCCTCATGGAGTCCCGGATGGTGGTCAGGAGCTGCGCCCCAGGACAGTGAGTGAGCGCCAGGAACAGGGCGGGAATTCCTTCCTCTCTTCCCAGTCCGGCCCCATCTCTATGAAGGGGCCAGAGGGCTAATTGCTCCTGCACATTGAGAATAATTATGTGGACACAGGAGCCAACTGGACAGGACCTGGACCTCTGGGTTCCGACCCTGGCTCTGCCACTTACCAGCTGGGTGACCCTGGGCAGGCTGCGTCACCTCTCTGCACTTTGCTGTCCTCATTTGTAACCTGAAAATGGTAGTGAGGTTATGAGCGGTTGGCCCAAAGGAGAGAGAAATGAAAGTGGCCTGTGTGGAAAGGGTGAGCGGGGCTGATTCCAGCTGGCTGATGTTCTGGGGAAGGCAAAAGGGTGGTGAAATGGAGACAGAGACAAGGTCAGTGTTGCTAGGACCGGCAAGGAGCACAGAGGACACTTAGGGCGGCGACGCTACTCTGTGTGACGCTGTCGTGGTAGAACACATCAGTGTGTCCAGGCCCACACAATCCAACACCAGGAGGGACTCTAGTGTGGACCATGGACTTTGGGTGATGGCGCCCCGCAGTGTAGGTCCATCAGCGGTAGCAGCCGGACAGCTCGTGGGGGGGGTGTTCTGTGGAGGATGTGGGAGGGGGCGGGGGAGCATGGGAGGTTGGTAGTTCTCCACCAGGTGTCCTGTGAAATAGCTGGGCGTGGTGGCACACGCCTCTAGCCCCAGCACTCTGGAGGGCTGGGGTAGACGGTCACAAGTTTAAGGTCAGCCTGGGCAACTTGGCAAGATCCTACCGAAACTACAAATATTTTTTAAAGGGCTGGGACGTAGCTCAGTGTTAGAGTGCTTGTTTAGCATGGGAAAGATCTTAGGTTCAATCCCCAGTAACATTTAAAAAAAAATAAACGCAAGCAACCCACTCAGGACCCCTTCTGTCTATCTTAGATGCTTTCTTTCCCCCAAAACATATTCTGCTCTTAATCTCCATTGTTCCTAGAATCCATTCTTCAATTTTAGAGAACACAAACTCATGTTGGACACCTAGCAGGTTGGGAGTCATATGTCCCCTATATCAATATTGCATGGCAAAAATAAAACAGTATTTACTTGCCCAATACACTTTGACAGTAAAAATACATAAACTGCCGGGTGTGGTGGTGCATGCCTGTAATCCCAGCACTCGAGAGGCTGAGGCAAGAGGATCACTGTGAGTTTGAAGCCAACACAATCTCAAAAAAAAAAAAAAAAAAGTGCTCTGAAAAGTAAAGTTCTTTTGTTTAATTTAAGAAAGAAGGACGAGTGAGAAGGGAGGGCAACTGCCTCTCAGGGGAGCAGCACGGTGCTTCTCTTAGTTTTCCTGGGACTCTCTGGAAGCATGGGGGTCCCACCTGCTTGCTGCTGGGGACAGTGATGCAGAGATGCCAACAGGGAGAGCAACACCATGTCCCACCTACACACACCCCTCACCTCCTTGGTGCCAAGGGTGGCTGCCCCATCTGCACCTCTCCCCGCCCCCTGCATGCAGCCCAGATGGATACTGAGAACTCCAAACCCGCTCCCACCATCCATCCCTCCTTACCATGCACAGGGGTCACTGCTGTCCCCTCAGCAGGGCTCCAAGGACTTGGGGGTGGGGGTCAGCCACCTGCTGTCTATGGTTCTAGGAGAAAAAACATAGTGTGGGATCAGCTGAGACACAGCCCATTGTTCCTGGTACAGCTCCCCATTAAAAATGACCCATGTGTAGGCAGACCCAAGATAGCGGAAACAGCTGTACTTCCAGAAGTGTTATACAGACTTAACGTAGTCCCAATCACAACACCAAAACCATTCCCCAGAGACCTAGAGAAAGCAGTCCTAAAGTTCATATGGAACCAGAACAGATCTAGAATAGCAAAAGCAATTCTGGGCAATAAAGGCAAGGCAGGGGGGCATCACAATTCCTGACTTGATATTATACTACAAAGCTCTTGTGATAAAAATGACATGGTACTGGCAAAAACAGACAAACAGAAAAACAGACCCAAGGATCAGTGGAACAGAATAGAAGATGAAGAAACAACTCTAAGCACACTAGCTACCTTATCTTTGACAAAGGGGACAAGTCCCTTTCCTGAAGGAAATATAGCCTCTTTAATAAATTATGCTGGGAAAATTGGCTTTCCACATGCTGAAGATTAAACCTAGACCCGTATCTCTCACCATGCACTACATTAAAATTGAAATGGATCAAAGATTGAAATATTAAAATAGAATAACTTCATCTGCTGGAAGATAAAATAGGTAGAACTCTTGAAAACATCAGTATAGGCAAAGACTTTATGAACAAAACCCCAGTTGTACAGGAAATCTTACAAAGAATCAAAAAATGGATCACATTAAATTAAAAGGCTTCTGGCTGAGCTTTCTAATGGTGGCACACACCTGTAATCCCAGCACTTGGGAGGCTGAGGCAAGAGGATCGCTGTGAGCTTGAGACCAGCCTGGGCTACAAAGTGAGCTCAAGGCCAGCCTGAACTGCATAGCAAGACCCTGTCTCAAAAAGACAACAACAACAAAAAGAATATATAAAGAACTCAAAAAAATCAGACCCCTCAAATTTAAAGACTCAGTCAAAAAATGGGCATCTGAGATGAATATACACTTCTCAGATGAAGTACAAACCACAAATAAATACATTAAAAACGTTCAACATCACCAGTTAAGGGCCAGGGTTATAGCTCAGTGGTACAGCACCTGCCTGACAAATGCAAGGTCCTGAGTTTGATTCCCGATACAAACAAAAAAAAATCACTAGTCATTTGAGAAATTTAAATTAAAACAACACCAAGAGATTCCATCTCACTCCAGAAAGAATGGCTATAATCAAGAAATCAACCAATAACAAATGCTGGTGAGGATGTGAGGAAAAAGGAACCTTTTCCACTGGAGGCAGTGTAAATCGGTACAACTCATATAGAATTCAGTATGGAGATTCCTCAAAAAACTACAACTAGAGTTTCCATTTGACCCAGCTGTGCCCCTTCTAGGTATCTTTCCAAAAGAGTTAAAGTCATCATACCACAGTGATACCTGCACAGTCATGTTTATAGCAGCACAACTTATAAAAGTTAAACCTTGGAAACAGCCCACGTGCCCTCAACAGATGAATGGATAAAGAAGCTGGTATTTATATACAGTGGAGTACTACTCTCCACAGTCAGCACTGCTACTCCGTAGCAGTACGTTATGGCGAAGTACTGCTTTGCCAAAAAGAAGGATAAACCTGAGACATTTTTAGGTAAATGGATGCCTCTCAAAACCATAATCTTGAGCTGGGCATGGTGGCGCACACTTGTAATCCCAGCACTTGGGTGACTGAGGCAGGAGGATCGCTGCAGTTCCAGGCAGCCTGGGCTACAA